CCAGCGAAGTAAACACAGTTGCATGAAATGGCAAATGCTGCCACCACATTTTAACGGCGCACGCATAGCATGCAGGTAAAGGTGAATACACGGGTGCCGCTTAATGTGCCGTTTACTTGGCATGTCTTATCCAGAAGATCTGTATAAACTTTGAATTTCGTTCCAGGAAGTCAGATGGCAAACACCAGCAGCCCTTGGAAACTGTTTATAGGGAGAACGTCCCTAACAGATTAACAAACACATGAACACACACGTGCACCGGAGCATTCGCTGGCAGTCCCGTTTAACTAAAAGCGATCGTCGGCGCCAATGTCGTTGACCTCGGCCATCGATTTCTTAGTTCGCCGGTACGGATATTGTTTTTGTTCTGAACGTTTTTGCTTTGACGTATGCACAATATCCGAGTGCGCCGAAGGAAACGGAAACCGTGTACCGCAGCGGCAGTGCACTTCAAGAGGCACGGTAAGCGCTACGCCAGCCGGCCGGCGCCGCGCAGGTGACGACGCAACCGACGGCGTTAACGAACTACGTCTGCAGGGAACGAAGACAGCCGGGACACCATAGAGCGATCGCGCGAGACCTTGGTACAGTCGCGCCACTCACTTCCCTTCTCATTTTCGTATTGGTGTCGCATGCGGTTGACTCGCAGCCATTGCCACAGCCGGCACGTCCTTGCGAAACGCGCTAAACCAGCGTCACAGATCCCTGGTCCCCGAGCCAAACGAGGCGTGCGCGAGAAAGCGCGCCTGCCGCCGCGTTGGGTGGGTGCAAAGCGGGACCGCGCAGGGGCGCTTCCACGATGCGCTTCTTTCCGTCCCTCCTCGTACTATCGGCCTCATCTTCTGCAGCTCGCGAAAGAAACGGCAAAGTCAGTGCGCAGCAGTGTCACGACCTTCGACGCATCCTACTGCGTTCTCGCTCACGTTTATCTTTTACATGTCGAGAAAATTGAGCTTGTAACATCCACTGAAAGGAAGCTCTGTAGTCTTTTGACGATGCTGTCTAAAATATAGTGAGCGTAGCCAAAACCAGCGTTTATGCTATACGACCTTGTACGCTGCACCACAACGGGAATATAAAATGCTGTTATTCCGTTTCGGTCACAGACTATGCTGGCCGAATTTATGCCGCCCCAAAACTGTCGAAACGAAGTGCAAGAACTTAAACGCCCAGACTATGCAGCTTCGCCCCTATTTGAGAGAACCAACTCGTCAATATGTGCAGGCAGTCATAGTGACGTGACAACCCCACGAAGTCGCACCCCACGAAGTAACTGAAATTATCAATACGCTCGATATAGTGGTTTCCTTTCCCGTTTCTCTCTCACTCTGTCAAAGCAAAATAACTTAAATAAGTTTAAGTTATAACATTAGGAAAATCAAAGCTTGTTTGACTTGAGATGGGACAACCTAGCACGTTCATAACAGTTTTTTTTTTTTTCGTTCACGCTTGAGTTTACCCTATGTTTCATAGAATGAAATAAAAAGAAGTTTGCCCGCGAAGACGTACGTGGTTGCACGTATTTTGGCGATGCTCCTGTCAGGAATTAGGCGTCAAAACACCCAAGAGCTATATCGCGCTGTCAGCAATGTACTCTTCAGGTTCATCATGCTTCTGTAGCCTGTTAGCTACTGGGTCAATACGCATGCGAAGTTAGCACTAACTTTGCGTCACAGTGCGGGAACAAATCGCGCGGAATACTACTGTAGCGCGATGCACTTCTCCACATGCAATGTATTAATCACTAGAGTATAAAGTTGGGCATGTTGGTAAGACATGGTTGATCGTTTTGGCACTACATTGCAGCACGTGTGGCTGCAAACCACTTTTTCATGGTACGGTAATCATAAGAAAAAACAGAAATAAAGTGACAAGGGAGATTATTGAAGCAGAAAAGATTAGTAGATTAGGGCTGAACTGCGTCAGCACTCCTTCTCTCGGTCTTTGTGAAAAAGAATTGTCGTTTTTGAGATCACAAGTTTTTAGCGCATGGCAATAGAGGGTTTTTCATCTGTTTATCTGTTGTCTTCGAATTTCGTGAGCATATATATGTACGCTCCTCGAAATAAAGATTTTGTTGGAAGTAAGCGCTCCCTTCTGTCCCTTCCCTTGTCCTATGTTTCTAAACGCGATACGTCGATCAAGTAATAATCACCCCGTATATAGCGATGAGCTCCCATGCTGGCTTCTATAAGTAGAAGCGCTCGCGCCACTCGCTCTTTTACATCTATACACAATGTTCCGTTGAATGCGAACGAGTCGTGCATAGGAAGCAGGCGAATATATATGAGCATGCATGCTCAGTGACGCAGCATACACAAGGGCCCTTCGTATTCTTGCATGGCTGCATTGCATTGTGCGGGGCTATGCCGCACGCATTGTTCGGGATATCGTGGCGAGAGTATAGGGACCGGCAGCAAGGCCACCTTGGGGCATCGAAGAGCTGTCCAGTGGGCCATTATTCGCAGAGGCCGTGCGTCGACGCCACTTTTCCAAACGCATCCTGCGAGTTAGGTCTCCAATAAGAAGGAAGGACGTCACGCATCCTGCTTTTCCCATCCAGCGTGTATACAGCCGCGGCCACGTCTGTGTACAGCGCGCTAGGAGCCGGTTTGCGGGGCGAAACCTCGAGGCAGTTTCGGGCTCTGAAGTGCTGTATCAAAAGCATGTGCAGCGTAGCTGTTAGGATGACCGACCACGTCGGAGCCCAAAACTGCCTCGAGGTTTCGCCCCGCAAACCGGCTCCTAGCGCGCTGTACACAGACGTGGCCGCGGCTGTACGTACTGCACATCTCTGACGGTCGATACATTCACGGCGAACGTGTCCGGGCACTAGAACGACAATGCTCACGCACTGATATCTTGATAAATTATTACGTAATATTCATTTTTCACGTGTCATCGTTTAACGAATGTTATAACTTGCGGAAGACCAGTGACGTGCAGCGGCGATATTAAACGGCTTTTGACCTTGCGCAGTTACTGTTATCTGCGTGCACACCAATTCGTGCTGGTTATGCGAGTGTGCATCGAACCACTTCATCCTGTGCTTTCGCATGCGCACGCAGCCATGCGTTGCATAAGCAATTTTTCGTTATAGCTGGAGGCGTTATCTAGTGCTCCTCTCGCGGGCGCTGAGAAGCCTTGGAGGTGTAGCAACCAAAGTAAAAAAAAAGGGCATTTTTTTTTCTGCTAGCTCTGTGTACATTGGTAGTGGTTTCAGCAGGACTTTTTCACTACACTTGAAACGATCGAATTTCCCTCAGAATGTCATCAAGATTCGAAAACTTTCTTTTAAGCGACTCGGTGCTTTTGCTAACGACGCCTTACACTAACCAGGCAAGGTCATGAGGTCACGTGCAGAACGGCAGCTTAAAATAAGAAGTTGTGATAGAAAACGTATGAAACAAGTGATTCCGCACAACTGTGTAGCTAACGGAAGACGCGAAGAGCGCCGTCCCGTTCTCAGCAGCATCACTCGTCCATCGTATGCGCGCTGCGCCAGCTACAACATAATAATCAATTTCCAGCCAAATACTCCATGACTTCATGTAACTTGCGTTTTTGTAATAGAGGTAAATGGTGCACGATCTGATGGTGGGTATGTCATTCCAGCTCCTGATTTCAATTCAGCTAGTTAAGAATGCAGAAGTACCACAGTTCTAATGTAACGTTAAAAAGAAAATTGTCGATGGAAGTCAGATAATGATGCACGCTGCCTTCAAGCAGTTTCGAGCAGCTATGGTAATAATACACCAGTAGAGCTAAACCACGACCAGAAAAATGCCTTTGCTCAGGACTCCTTGATACAGTTGTAATATATCGCACAAAATGAAAATGAGGCACAGTTGACCAACAAACGTTTTCGTATAACGTGAGTTCAGCTGTGTTAATTCAAGCGGACGCAATACACGTAATATCACATGCAAAATCATACACCAGAAAGGGTGATCGACGCGACTTGAACACTACCTTCTGATTACAATGGATAACGTATTCTTCCGTTTCACGACCAGAAAGATAGAAAACCTGCTTGCTGTTCTAAAGTCTATTTGCTTATCTAGGTAGCCGAATATAGTTTTATAACGTACCGTGACGCTCGGACTGTCACTTAGCTTGAAATCAAATTTGGCTTTTTAGATTGGATTTAACGTCCCGAAACCACCATATGATTAGGAGAGACGCCGTAGTGGAGCGCTCCGGAAATGCCGACCTCCTGGGGCTCTTTAACGTGCGCCCAAATCTGAGCACACGGGCCTACGGCATTTTCGCCTTCATCGAAAATGCAGCCGCCGGGGTTCGATCCCGCGACCTGCGGGTCTGCAGCCGAGTACCTTGGCCACTAGACCACCGCGGTGGGGCAAAGGTTGGCTTTTTGGCGATGGATTATATCCGCATATAAGCATGCATCTTATGCGATTACTTTCAATAGGCAGCAAGGTAAAACATGAGTGTTTCACGTAGCTACCTATCACATCGCATTCCGTTCCACGAGTGGTTAGTACGCGCTGAAATTGCAGCGCCGCCACTACATGACGTTCAATACTGGCACCGGGTGAAAGGGTTGGCTCACTGCGAGGAAACCGGGTACTCTTGCGCCTCCGCGATGAAACGAAGGGGAAAACGCAGTCACCTATTGACAGAGCCAGCGATCATGCCGGACGCGGAACCTACAAAGATCTGTTTGCGTGCGCCTGTCAAAGTTGAAAAGGTGAGTGAGCGTTTCTTCTTCGCTAAGGCCACGAGGTTTTTCAATGCGGTTTCGCCAGCTGATCGGCGCAAATGGCCATCGCGCGATAACCGCAAGGCAAAGCCCGTGCAGCAGGAGTGCCGCCGGTGGAAGCCACATCGCGCGCGCCAGCGAACCGATGCACAGATTCCGCCGGAGGTTCTAACCCGGAGAGATGAAGACGCTGGGGAGCCGGCGGAGAAAGCGGGACATGCAGAGGAGCGGAGCGTGCGAGGCCGACCTCTGTTCGACCTTTAGGGCCGCCACTCACTCGAAGGCAGCGTGGCCAGCGTCAGGAAGAAGGCGGCGGCGGCCAGGGCCGCGGGCTGCAGCTGTGGGGCCATTCCGAGGGCGGCAGGGTTCCTCCGATGCTCGACTTCTCACGACGACTGGCTCACAGTGTTCGCTGCCGGCCGACTCCTTGCCTGCCTCCGCCGATCCGTGTTCGCAGGCGGCTGTTCGTCACGTGGGATCCGCGCCGTGACGACGCCGCCACTGCTGCCCTGGTGGCCGCCGTTGGCGCAACCTGCTCTCGGCGTCGCGGTAGCAGCGCTGGGCCCCTCGCCCTCGCGGAAAATGGAGCAGAGCCGCGGGCATTTCGACCGCCCGCCTCCCTTCCGCTGCCGGCGCTTCGTCCGGGCATGCGCCGCCGCTGCACGGGCCGTCACTTGTTCATGGTTATATTCAAGTGGCAGAATGGCAGTGGAGCCCGGAGAAATAACTGCGAATGAATTGAGTGGTACAGGTATATTTTCTAAATCATATCACCGGTCATGAATAAATGCATTCAGGAAAAACCTGCACAGAGAAATCTATTAATAATGTTCTGGCGGTGTTATTAAACATATGACGGACACCCCACGACGGTGACTACCCTCTTACTGCTTCAAACATAAATGATTGAAAACGCGGAAGTATGCAAAAGCAAAGGCAGTCAAGGCGTAAATGAGATATTGGCATAAACGTTGGATGTTTGCTACTAGCAAGCTCGGGTAAAGCCTTCTCAACCCTGCAATGAAGCTGGTTCTCGGAATATTTAAATTCTACATTGCTAAGTTCCAGCAAGCACAGCTGGCACTTTTATTCTGCATGATGCATAAAACTGCTACGACACTGGAATGTTGCATAAAGTCAATGCATTTATTATAATAATTGGTTTATGCTTCATCTAAATACTTTTTGTTACTGCAATGACTGCAATGATTTTTTTTTTTTTACTGCGATGAGCGCAATATTATGCTTCGGCTTCCCCATTCTAAATTTAGCGACTTTTGCGATGGGCGTTGAACGCTATAGTCTCGGTTGACAGTATACTGCTAAATATAGGATGATACGAGAACTTCATGCGCGCCTCATTTACTTCTATTGACTTCAGTTTACACAAACGAGCGGCTTTATACAGTGTCGTTCTGTAATGTGCATGCGCATCTACTCCGTCCCTTCATCTTATAATAATTCATCTCCATGTTCCTTTTCTCCCTTTTCCAGCGTAGAGTTGCAGGCTAATGTGCCACATCTTGGCAATCTTTCTGCGTTTACCTTGAATAGAATTAACCTCTCTCCGTAATATGCATGAACTCGAACCAAGGTATTAGCACCGAGAAGTTGGAGTGGCGCCGCCTGGTGGGAGGCTTGCATGACGTCACGGCATGGCCTTTTCGAATCTTGCTTTGGCGCACGTATACATAACACGCGCTCGCTTCGAACACCGTTGCGCTGCCAGCGGTCAATTTTTTTTACTTGTCTCACGCATAACATGAATGACCGAAGCAGCATAGATTATGTTCCTGGTAAAACAATAGATAACTAAGCTTTGATTTTTTCAGTAGAATCGCCAACGGTGCCTGCGCTCCAGCGTACACGCTTTGATGAGGTTTGTTGTGGTGTCGCGCTGCTTACTTCGAAGATGGATTCGATTCTCGGCCATGGTAGCCGCACTCTGACGGGGGTGAACAGCAAGACAATGCATGTGCAGCAGGTTAAAAAATACGAGGTGACCACAATTACTCTGCAGCGTGCCTCGCAATCATCTCGCGCTTCTGAAACGTATACGACAGTGTGCTTGCATTTCGGGTTGCGTTGTTCACGGGCGATTCATTTAAAAAGATGTGATTGTTTCGCCTTCCCAACTAGGTATATGTATCGGACGCATCGGAGTAACTGCTATCAGCGTTTTTTTTTTTTTTTTTTCCTGTGGGTGCGTGCGCAAGTTAGTATCGAGTGTCGCAAAATATCTCGAATGCGCTCGCCCGAGAATACCGCTGCAGCGGTTGCGTTAGATTTTCTTGTGTGGTTCCTCATATTTCATCACGTTATTTCATTGATTGACATGTGATTGATTGATTGATATGTGGGCTTTCATAAACTGCAGCGGAGAATGGCCTGTGAATACTTGCAGCATTGCCAGCATTCATGGGCTAGCATTTCTGTGCGATACTTGGCGACACTTGAAGATGTTATGGTATTAGTGCACTTTGATGGTATCCGGAAGTCATGGAACTTACCTTGGGCGAAAGTATTTGACGCTTCACCAAACTCGAAAAGTGTCTGTTGGCGTCAACGCGACTCATGCAAAAATCGTCATCACGTAATGGCTTCACTCTATGATGTCATCAAGACTTCCCAGTTCACCACCTTTCATTATGTCATAACGACATGACATTGACGTCACATGAATTACGTCATACAATGACGTCATCACAAAACGTCATAGCTCAGTCAAAGGTGGGCCGATACCATTGGCTTTAGTAAACCACGTGAGAGGCAGAAAGCTTCCAATGCCTACGACAGCAAAGGAAGTGCAAAACTACGTTGAGGGTAGAAGGCTTTAGGGGGACGGTACAATACAATGAACTGAGAAGAAGCAATAGCTCACCTTCGAGTCGTCTTAGATAAATGTAGAATAGAACATGTGACCTTATAAAAATACTTACGCTTTAGGTGAGTTCATCTGTAAATGTCTGAAAGCACCACATCTGCAACCCATTCTGTTTTAGTTAGCTCAGACATGTACGGCAGGGACTACAATATTCGCGCATACTATATTGTAGAGCATATAATTAAACGTTTCGGCACATGTGGTGCACTATTCACGCATACTGTAGTGTAGAGCATATAATTAAACATTTCGGCCAGTGGCAGCTGCTCAACTCATTCCTCAACAAGTCATCTGCTAATGTCCCTGTAACCAAAATCGACTACAATGGATCCACCTTCTCTAAGTCCAAAGAAATTGCCAATGCCTTTCCGGAATACTTTTCTTCCGTCTATACTAACCACCGCCCCCATGCGCAGGCGTATACATCTCTGGGACGTACCACGCAGTCATTCTTTCTTTTCCCAACAACACCACAGGAAGTCTTTTCCACTATTGCTAATCTTAAAAATACAGGGCCTGGGTTAGATGACATTTGTGTAAGGCATTTAAAACTGGTTGCACATTTAGTTTCCGATAAGCTGTGTTATATTATCAACCTTATGTTTAAACAGGGTTTATTTTCCGCACTCTTAAAAAAAAGCTAAAGTATTTCCAGTTTTTAAAAAAAGGCGATAAACAAACAGTTTCCAACTACCATCCAATTTCAATTATTTCCTGCCCCAGCAAACTAGTCGAAAAATTGTTTGTTGAACGTCTGAATGGATATCTAGTTAAATTTAAATTGCTTAAAGACAGCCAATTTGGTTTCCGTCCAGGTAGGTCAACAAGTCTAGCTGTGCTGTCTCTAACTGATTACATAAAGAAAAGTATCCATTCGGGAAGTTTAGTGGGTTCGATTTTTTAAGATCTCACTGAAGCCTTTGACACTGTAAATCATCAAGTCTTATTGCATAAACTTCAGTCCTATGGCATAACAGGACCTGTGCTTACATTCTTAAGAAATTACCTACTTGGCTGACAGTACACAGTACACGCCGCAAATAGCTTCTCTACAACAAAATATGTTAACCAATGAATACCGCAGGGCTCAGTATTGGGTACTTTGCTATTTATTTTTATATGAATGATCTTCCTGATGTTCTTAGCTCTTTTGACTGTGGTCACTGTGTTCTATACGCTGATGACACAACAATATCTTCATCTGATAAAAACATTGATGCGCTTGTTTCAAAGTTAAATCTTGCATTAAGTGCCCTTATGAATTGGTGCAGCAGTAATCGCTTAGTTATCAACCCCACAAAAACTAAATTTGTGGTGTTCAAAAGTGCTCAGAGGTCATTATCTGCTGTTTCCTTAATACAACTTGGTATTCATTCCATTTCTGCTTGTTCCGATGTCGTGTTTCTTGGCATACATTTTGACCCATGCCTTACCTTTCGCAGTCACTTTAACCATCTTAAGCAGAAGACGGAGTTTGGTATCCGTGCATTAATCAAAGCTCGCCCTTTCTTTCCCGTGAAGCTCTACTGGCGCTGTATTTTGCGTTCATTCATAGTCATATTACTTACGGTGTAGTCTCACGGGACCACACTTATGCTTGTCATTTATCATCAATACAGGACATTCAAAATCAGTCAATCCGCATTGTCACTTCTAGTTCTTCGCAATCGAACGCCTACACATTACTACGCTCTTGCAATACCTTGCCTGTAAATCTTTTGTTACGGTTAAATCTTGTGACCTTATTCCACAAACTGCTGTATAATCAACTCGCATTCCCATTTATTACATCTGATCTTTTGCAGAATAATAATGTGACCAGGTTTGCGGCTGATAAAAATTTCCTGTTACCCCCCGCTCATACTAATTATGGGCAAAAACTTCCACTTTCAGTGCGATATCCTTTTGGAATGCGTTACCTTCTAGCATTAAGCGTTGCACTTCAATTCCTTTGTTCAAAAAGTCCGTCGAAAATCATTTTCTTGAATAACCTTACTTGTGATCGTTTACCTCTTTGACTAGTTTGTCCTTCGTTTTTTTTAATAACATGTTGCGTGTTTTGGCTTGATTTGTGATATAAAAGTGCATTTTGATGTCCATATATTGTAAGAATTTTCTGTTGCTCTGTATAAATTTTACCGTCGATTTGTATCGACAAACCAGGGGTCCCACTAAGGTCTCTGGCTCTGGGACCCTCGTCTGTATATCTTAGACTTTGTACCTTGTTTTTGGAAATAATGAAACATGAAACTTGATGAGCTGTTCCAAATAAAGCGTAATTTGTAAACGCAAAAAAAAAAAAAAGCTGAGACAAGAGGGCAGCAGGGTGGCCTTCCTTGTTTCTTTTTATTAAGTCAAAAGACTTGAATGCTTCATCAAACGCGAAAACTAACCAGTATCCCTAGTCAACGGCGCAAGGAGGGTTGATGCAAAAGATCTTCGTCATGTGTTGACGTTACAGATCACCAAAACTTGTTACCTCGCTACGACATCATATGGTCACGTTACATAATGACATAATCACATGACATCGTGGGCCAATCACAGAGTCAGTGCAAAGACATGTGAGGTACCTCCAATCCTAGAGGCAGGGGAAGCCACGTTATAGGCGCAGAGAGCCTTCAATGAGTGGTGGTG